CTTCCATTTTCCTCATGTGTGTTTGTAGGGATATAAATTCCCCTCTTATTACAGCTTTTAAGGCATCCCAGAGATTTTGGTAAGATGTTTCTTTATTTTCATTTGTTTCCAGGTATCTTTGATCCCTGTTTTGATTCGTCGTTGACCCAGGAGTTGTTTATCATCATGCTGTTTAGTGTTTATGTCTTTGTGGGTTTTGGGGGGACTTTGTCGGTGTCAATGTTTATTTTTATTCCACTGTGGTCTGAGAAAGTGTTTGGTAGAATTTTGGTCCTTTTAAATTTACTTATGCTTGATTTATGGCCGAGTATGTGGTCAATCTTAGAATACGTTCCATGTGGTGATGAGTAGAATGTGTGTTCTGTGGTCTTTGGATGGAGTGTTCTATAGGTATCAATTAAGTCCATTTGGTCCAAAGTCACATTGAGGTTCCGGATCTCCTTGCTGATTTTTTGTCCTGATGATCTGTCTAGAATTGTGAATGGGGTATTAAAGTCCCCAGTTATGATAGTGTTAGAGTCAATATCTTTCTTTAGTTTTCCAAGAAGTTGCTTTATGAAAGTTGGCGCACCTATGTTGGGTGCATATATGTTTAGGATAGATATTTCTTGTTGATGGATTGAGCCTTTTATCATTATGTAGTGGCCTTCTGTATCTTTTTTTATTTTTAATAGCTTGAAGGGTATTTTGTCTGAAATTAAGATCGCTACTCCTCCTTTCTTTTGTATTCCATTCGCCTGAAAGTTTCCCATCCTCTTACTTTGAGTCTGTGGGTGTCCTTTCTAGTGAGGTGAGTCTCTTGAAGGCAAGAGATTGTTGCCTGATGATATTTTATCCATTTTGCCATTCTATGTCTTTTCAGTGGTGCATTTAGTCCATTCACATTTAGGCTAATAATTGAAATGCAAGAGTTGATCCCTGTCATAAGGTTCTTACAGAGTTGTTCCTGTTTGTTTGTTGTCTTTCTTTGGGTTTTGGAGTTGGTTCATGTGTGTTTTTAATCTTTTGCCTGTACTCTTGTGAAGAATGCTGTTGTTCTTTTTTCTTTTTCTTCTGTGTTCAGTACTTTTTTAAGTGTTTCTTGTAGAGGTGGTCTGGTGGCAGCGTAGGTTCTTAGGGATTGGATGTCTGGAAAAGATTTCATTCTCCCTCACTAATGAAGCTTAGTTTGGCTGGGAAGGTAATTCTTGGTTGAAATTGTTTCTCTTTTAGAACTTTGAAGATAGGGCTCCAGGGTTTCTGTGGATAAATCTGCTGCTATTCTAATTGGTTTTCCCTGGTAGGTAGTCTGACCTTTTTCTCTTGCTGCCTTTAGGATTTTTCCTTTCATAGCTACTTTGTTTAGGTGAATTATTATGTGTCTGGGAGTTGGTCTTCTTGTTTGTTGTCTTGCAGGGGTCCTCTGAATCTTTTGTGTTTGAATTTTTTCATCCTTAATGAGATGAGGGAAGTTTTCTTGAATGATTTCATGAAATGTTTGTTCCAGTGTGGCTTCTGTTTCTCTTTCTGCCTCAGGAAGCCCAATTATTTTTAGGTTTGGTCTCTTGAAGTGATCATTCATCTCTTGCAGGTTTTGTTCTGTCTTTTTGAGCTTCTTTTCTATGCTTTTGACAGTTTGGGTTAGTTCTGTGTTTTGGTCTTCGAGCTCTGAGATTCTTTCTTCAGCTTGGCTGATTCTGCTTTCCATGCTTATTAGTCTGTTGTTCATTTCCATCACAGTATTCTTTACTGCTGTCATTTCTCACAACAGCTCCTTCCTATTTTCTTCTTGTCTCTCCTCAATTTTTTTAATTCTCTCCATTAATATCTTGATGTCTGGGTTTGTTGCATGTAACCAGTCATTCTGGGGACTCTTCATTGTCTGTGTTCCAGAATCTGTTTTCTCAGTGTCTGATTTCCCAGGGGTCTGTGTAGGACCTATATTTTTCTTTTGGTTTTTCTTCATTTGTGCAAATTTTTCCCCCTCTCTACTTTTTCCTTCCCTCCATGTCACCATCTTCTTTAATTCTGTTGTTCAGGGGTAAAGGGATTGGTTTTACTTCTGTTTGTTCCATCTCCTATTCTTTATGTATGTCCTCTTACTTTGTTCATTTCTGAAGTTGCACTGTAGGTTGGAGGTGGTCCTTTTTGCAGTTTTGAGATGTATTTAAGGGGAGAGCTGTGATTCAAAATCTGTCTGCAGGTCCTGGTATTCGCTGACAGGTGTGTGGATAATGTGGAACCCACTTCCCACTGTCCTGGAATCTGTGCATGAAGTGGAGCTGTAGGTTTACTCCCTGAAATAAAATGTGGTTAGCAGAGGGGAGAGAATGGAGCAGATAGTGGGTTGAAGAGGGGAGTGGAGAGATAGAGGAGTAAGGGGAGAAACAAGCGAGTGTGCCAACAAATAGAGAGAGAGGCCTATACTGAAACAGATAAAAAACAATAGACCACAGCTACAGTCAAACCAACTCTCATACAAACAAAAATAAAACATATAGTGATGCCAATATACAAGCTAACCAACCACCTTGTTAGTGTGCTGTTCCTCTATACAAAGATATGGTTTACAGAGAGAAGAAAAGAGAAGAAAAGGAAAAGGAAAAAAGAAAAAAGGGAACAATACAGTAGGAATAGAATTAAGTCATTAAACTGATAGAATCAATGAAGCACACACTGAGACCTTTCATTTAAGTCCAATGTCCTTTCAGGTCTGATTTCTAGTTTTCTTTTCAAGCTGGTAAATTAGTTTGCAGTTAGAGTCAATTGCCCCTGATCTGCTGTGAAGGACAGTTCAGATTAACCTTCCTTTCAGCAGTTTGGTCTATGTCTTTATCAAGCTTGTTTCTCCCGTTTCGGTGTTGTTACCTTGAATCGCCAGCAGGTGGTGCTGTCTCATCTGCTTGCCCCAGAGCGGGTGGGGCAGGACAGGAAGAAGATGGCTGCCTCCCTCCGAGCAGGCAACAGGAGCCCCACGCCGGGCCGGCAGGACAGTCTCGGAGGCAGGATAGGTGGCAGCGATCCCAGCAGATCTTCCCTGAAGCGGTTCGTTGTGGATGTCCTCGGGCTGCGTAGTGCGATATGCTACCCCTCCCAGAAGCCGCTGCGGCAGTGGCGCCGGTGCCGGCAATGGCAGCGGCGGTGGGGGGAGGGGCGGCGGTGGCGGTGGGACCGTTTGGAATGCAGTCAAAACTGTCAGTCGTTCCAATGGCAGCGGCCGAGCTCTATCTGTAGAGCAGGCTGCGATGCTGGGGTCCCCAGCCCCCCAGGGCAAGAGTCAGAGACCCACTGCAGATCTCCCTTGCAGAGGGCTTTAGACGCCGGGTTGCCCTGTCGCCATCTTGCCGCATCCCCCTAATTTATTTTATTTTATTTTTGAGTTGGAGTCTCACTCTGTCGCCCAGACTGGAGTGCAGTGGCTGCTCCCGGCCACTGCAGCCTCAACCTGCTGGGCTCCGGCGATCCTTCCGCCTCAGCCTTCCGAGCAGCCGGAATTACAGGCATGCGCTCGCCTTGTTTCTTTTGCTAAGGATTGTTTTGACTATTCATGGTCGTTTATAATTCCATATGAATTTCTGTATTGTCATTTCCAGGTGTGAGAAGAATGATGTTGGTACCAAAGGCAATCTACAGATTCAACGAGATATATATTTTTAAAAGAGGAAAGTACTCTTTGAGTCCACCTTTTTATAAACACTAGAACAGTAGAAATATAATGAACTTTGCACATTCAGAAAAAATAAAAACAGTAGAGTCTCATTTTTTGACCTATAGGATACTCACGTTCTAACTCCTCTGATTCTATTTGTACCTCTTTGTATTGCTTTTGCTTGTCAGCTATTTCTCACTAAATTTCTGCAGCCAGCTGGAGTTAAATAATCCTGAATATCACACCATTTATCTTCTCCCTGCATTCTGCTTCCCAACAGCCTCGGCATCTATCATTTCATTTAATTTCCCAGTAAGCAACCAAAGAGTTATTTCTGATTCTCTGCAGTTCTCAACTTTTTGATCATACCAAACTTGAAAGCCTATTTCTATTTTTTTGTTTATGGTTCCTAAACTCACTTATTTTTGTTGTTCCAGTCAATTTATTTGTTCCAATTCTTATCTCCTTTGAGTCTATAGCAAGACAAATCTACAGGCCCAATTCTGCACTATATCTAAATGAGATTAATAACATTGGATTAATTATTCAAACTTTCAAACATAATATTCATAAAATAAAGCCTTATAGGAGAAAAGCCTGCACCATCAGTTCTCTGCTTTGTTACTCTGCCCATATTTACTACTAAATATCTACTCTTAGAAAACTTGCCAATTCTAGCAGTGATACATCAAATATATAGAAATGGTTTGAATGCAGTCTGCATCCCTAAATAATTGCATGTAGCATATGCACAGAATTTTTTATTTCAAGTCTGTTACCTATGAATACATTTCCTACAACAAATTTTATAATTCTTATCATTCCCATTTTACAGTAGGAGAAAATACAATTCAGAGAATAGCATTCCAAAGGCTGAAAAGCATTCAGAAGCTGTAAATGTATTCATACGTTTTTTATTCTGAAATATATCTTCACCTTAATCTGTTTTTAAAAGTGACTATATTAATTTTAATCCCTGTACTTCAAATTATATAAAATTGTGGCAGTTATTCCAAAACTTTAATTTGAATGCATAATTTCACAGCTGAAATCCATTGTAGTGCTTTGATTTCCTGACACCAAGAACATAAATATAGAAGGAGTTTAAATTAGGTGCTAAGCTTTACAGACATGGTTACTGAAATTTACCTGCTATATTTTCATGTAGAACTAGATCAATATTAAGATATTTAACTATTTTCTATCACTTGCTGTTATTTGAAGAAATGCTCATCATACATGTCTTAAATACTATTTTATATATTGTTTTTAGTATTGTATTTGTTAATTATTTATTATGTGTATATGTTATAATATTATATTTGCATTGTATTCTGTATTGGATTTGTATAATATTTTTGTGATTTGTAAAGACTCAGAACACCAGGTCTGAATTTTTAGGGAATTCTCCAAAACTAAAATTTATCATTAAATATAATTTAAACAAGGCTGGTATTTCTCAGATGAAGATGTATTCAAAATACATTTTTCTTGTTACAAAATGAGTACATTTTTACTATAGAATATTGAAAAGACATTGGACTGCCAAAAGAAGAAAGTAAATTTACCTGCAGTTCTTCCATTCGGTTAAAACCACTATTAAATTTTGGTCTTATTCACCATTGTTTTCCTAAGCATTTCAAACAGTTCTTTGCACATCATAAGTCTTAATACATATAAGAGAATGAATAAATGAATGAATTAGTAAATGAGGGATTTGTAAATGTATATTAGTAAATATACACCTATATGAATTTAACAAAAATTAGATCATACTATAGAAACTTTTTAAATTAGTTCTTTTTCACTTAGCAAAATATCCCTAGCAATTACATGTACTCAGTATTCTCCTGCAGTATCATTTTAATAGCTGCATTATATCCAAGTCTATGAAAAGAGATTACTTTAACATTTTTTGAGTTGGCATAACATATCTGTCATTGATAATGCCCTGCTTTGAACTTCTACTGGATCTCTAAAGGTCCCAAATGCTTCACAATTAGAGGCAATGCATTCTTCCAGCCCTGTACCCTAACTCCAAGCCAATTTCCATCTGCCAAGTTATTTACCATTTTCCAGGAGCAACACCAAGCTCTTTCCCTATGTGAAGTCTACAATATTCTTTTCCTTCTACCAGGAGTGCTCGTCCTGCACCTCCTTCCTGAGAACACACAGGCATCCTTCCAAATTCAAATCAAAGGGTTCACTCCTGAATTCTTTATGACAGTGACCTTAGAAATCAGCATAAATCACATACAACAAGTAAATCATCTCATAGAGATGGAAAGAACTGAAGTTTTATGTCAACTAAGAAAGAATAAAAGAGCATTTTGGTTTGAGTTAGCAGTCAAAACTCTAGATAAGACTATAATATCCCTGGCCGGGCTTGGTGGCTCAACCTATAATCCCAGCATTTTGGGAGGCCAAGGCAAGTGGATTGCCTGATCCCATGGGTTCGAGACCAACCCTGGCAACTTGGCGAGACCTTGTCTCTACAATAAATCAAAAATTAGCCGGGCGTGGTAGTGCATGCCTGTAGTTCTGGCTATTTGGAAGACTGAGGCGAAAGGATTGCTAGAGCTCAGCAGGTCGACGATGGGGTGGCCGTGAGCGTGCCACTGCACTCCAGCCTGGGTGATGAAGTGAGACTCCGACTCAAAAAAAAAAAAAGACTATATCCCTGTTGTTCTGTTAACAAGAAAAAGCAATCTAAGGCAAGACATTCTTTTCTTCTCTTCAGGAAACACTGGCTTTTAATTCTTCTCTTCTGAGGCCCCGTGTGATTGGAGAATGGATTGGTAGAGAAGAAAATGATGCTGATCCACTAGCTGCTGAAATGCTACAACCTCCAATTCCAAGAAGTAAAAATGACCAATGGGAAAGTGAAGATAGTGGATCTAGCCCTGCAGGAAGGTGAGATGTAATGTCTGCAAAGATTATATATTATCAGTTATTAAGAGGTAAAGGGAAAATAAACCCAAGTGCATGATTTTGATGAAATCCTGTTTTAGAAATTTTATGTAGAATATTGTTAGACTCTTCATAGAATAAAATATTAATTGCTCTGTTTTATATTGGTTTTTTGTCTTCAAACCTAGGAAATCACCTTTTTGTGTGTGATTAAAACCATACAGAGAAATAATTTCAAGGACACGGACTCTTAGTCAGGACCTACTATAATATTAGGTAGGAAGTGGCTCACTGTTAAGTACTGGAGAGAGGGTACTTTTTTTTTCTTTTATTTTACAGATGTGGGTATAATTCAGGATTAGGTATACAAATGAGCATTGTACAGGTAAAGTTTGGGAATTCTTTGGTCTCCACTTTGCCTGGTTTGAGATCAGGTACCCTTTTTGATGCTATGTGTCCCACCCCCCCCCAAATGCCAATCCCTGCCACTGTCCACCCTGCTACTGCCAATCTCTTTCTTATAGTATTATGGTAAAGGTTCAGGGTCCACTTATGAGTGAGAACATGAGGTACTCAGTTCTTTGTTTTTGTGATAAATCACTGAACATGATAGACTCTAAATCCACCCAAGTTGCTGCGAAGTCCATGTTTGTTCTTCTTTATGACTGCGTTATATTCTATCATGTACTTGTACCACATTTTTTTAATTCAGTCCGATTTTGATGGGAAGTACAGTTGGTTCCATGTTTTTGCTATTGTTAATAGTGCTACAATAAACGTTCATGTGCAGGTATCTTTTTGGTAGAGTGGTTTGAGTTTCTCCCAGTAGGGGGATTGCTGGGTCATACGGAAGGCCAATTTCTACTTCTTTTAGATACTGCAACACTGTTTGCCATAGATGTTGAACTAGTTTGCATTCCCACCAGAATAGAAGTGTTCCCTTTTCTCCTCATCCTCCCCAGCATCTGTTGTTGTTTGTTTTATTAATGATGGCCATTCTTACTGGGGTTAGGTAGTAGCTCAATGTGGTTTTGATTTGCAATTCTCTGATGAAAATAAAGTTGAGTGCTTTTTTATGTGTCTATTGACTGCCTTCTTTATCTTTTTTTTTTAATCTTCTTTAGAGAATATTCTATTCGTGTCTTTTGCCCACTTTTTAATGGGGCTGTTTGTTTTTTTCCTTTTGGCACGGTTGTGTTTCTTGTAGATCTTGGATGTTAGGCCTCTGTTAGACATACAAGTTGGCAAATATTTTTTTCCCTTCTGTGGGCTGACTCCTTGCTCTCTCGATGGTTTCTTTTACTTTGCAGAAGCTTTTTAGTTTAATGAGGCCCCACTTGTCTATCTTATCTCTTAAGTTATGGGGATTTAGGGTTTTGATCAGGAATTAGTTCCCTACTCCAGTTTCTGTACGGGTGTCTCCTGCCTTTTCTAAGATTCTTATAGTTTGAGGTTTTACATTTAGGTCTTTGATCCATTTAGAGTTGATTTTTGTGTATGGTGATAGGTAGAGGACCTGTTTCAATCTTCTGCATGTGGTCAGTAAGTTTTCCCAGCACCATTTACTGAATAGATTCTTCTCTCCCCAGTGGTTGTTGGTGGAGGCTTTGTCAAAGATGAGCTGGTTAAGAAATTGAGGTTTTGCTTCCAAACTCTCTATCCTGTTTCATTGGTCCATAAGGCTATTCTTGTACCAACACCAAGCTGTTTTGATTATTGTAGCCTTATAGTAAAGTTTAACGTCTGGAAGTGTGATACCTCCCACTTTGTTTCTATTGCTAAGGATTGTTTTGGCTATTCATGGTCATTTATGTTTCCATATGCATATCCATATTGTCATTTCCAGGTCTGAGAAGAATGATATTGGCAATTTAATGGGTATTGCTTTGAATCTGTAGATTGTCTTTGGTAGGATGGACATCTTAACAATGTCAATTCTTCCTATCCTTGAGCATGGAATATTTATTTTTCCATTTGGTTGTGTCTTCTTGGATTTCTTTGAGCAGTGTTTGGTAGTTTTCATTGTAAAGGTCTTTCACTTCTCTGGTTAGGAAGATGCTGAGGTATTTCACTTTTTTTTTTGGTGGTTATTGTGAGTGGAATTGTGCTTTTTATTTCGTTTTCTGCCTGTTTGTTGTTGGTGTATAAAAATGAGACTGTCTTTTGCACATTTTTTGTACCCCCTGACTTTGCCAAAGTCCTTTATCAATGCAAGGAGGTTTTTGACAGATTCTTTTGGATTTTCGAGGTATAGAATCATGTTGTCAGCAAAGAGAGATAACTTCTTCTCCTATATTGAATACCCTTGATTTCCTTTTCTTGTCTAATTCCTCTAACTAAGACTTCCAACACAATGTTGAACAGGTGGCATGAGAGTGGGCAGCCTTGTCTTGTTCCAGTTTTCAGGGGAAATACTTCTAGTTTCTGTCCATTTTAGCAATATGTTGGCTGTGGATTTGTCATAGATGGTACTTTCTTTTTTGAGGTATGTTCCTTCTATGCCTACATGTCCAAGGGTTTTTATCAAGAAGAGATGCTGGATTTTATCGAAAGTTTCTTCTGCATCTAATGACATAATCATGTGGTTCTTGTTTTTACATCTGTTTATGTATTTAATTACATGTATGGTCTTGCAGATGTTGAACTAGCCCTGCATCCCAGGGATGAAACCTACATGGTCATGGTAGATGATTTTTTTTTCTTTTTTTTTTTTAATAATCAATATTTTTATTATGATATTGTGGGGTACAATTAAGGGTTAGGTATACAAATATGCTTCGTTCAGGCACCCTTGTTGACAAGAGGTGTCTCCCTGTATGGTAGATGATTTTGAGATGTGTTGTTGGATCCAATTTGCTAGAATCTTGTTGTGAATTTTTACATCTATGTTCATCAGACATGTTGCCCTGTAGTTCTCTCTCTCTCTCTCTCTTTTTTTTTGGATCTTTACCCAGTTTGGGTATCAATGTGATGTTAGCTTTGTAAAATGATCTGGGAAGAATTTGTCTTTCTCAATTGCCTGGAATACTTTCAATAGGATCGGTATCAGCTCCTCCTTATATGTTTTGTAGAATTCCGCTGGAAATTTATCTGGTTCAGGAATTTTTGGGAGATAGTTTTCTTATAATGGAGTCAATTTCCTGGGTTGTTATTGGTCTATTAGTTTCTCAATGTCTTCTTGTTTCAACTGTGGGAGGTGGTGTGATGTCAGAAAGTCCTCCATTTCATATAGGTTATCAAGTTTGTTTCCATATAGGTGTGCATAATAGTCTCTGATAATCTTTTACATTTCTTTGGAGTCAGTGGTGATTTGATCTTTTGTAATTCTGATTGTGTTTATTTGGGCTTTTTCTCTCTTTTCTTGGTCATTCTGGCTAGGGGTGAAAGAATCTTGTTTATTCTTTCAAAGAACCAACTTTTTGTTTTGTTGATTTTTTCTGCGATATTTTTGTCTTCTGTGTCCCATATTGGGGCTTTTACTTTGGTGATCTAGATTCTTCTGCTAAAGTTCAGATTTTGGTGATCTTGTCTCTCCAGTCCCCTTAGGTGATTTGTTAGGCAATTGACTTGTGATCTTTCCATTTTCTTGATGTGTGTTTGCAGAGATGTAAATTCCCCTCTTATAACTGTTTTCATGGCACCCCAGAGGTTTTGGTATGATGTTTCTTTGTTTTCATTTGTTTCCAGGAATTTTTTAATTTCTGTTTTGATTTCTGGGTTGACCCAGTAATCATTCAGCATCATGTTGATTAGTGTGCATGTCTTTCTGGGTTTGGGGGGCATTTTGTTAGTGTTGATACTTATTTTTATTCCACTGTGTTCTGAGAAGGTGCATGGCTGTATTCTGATCTTATGAAATTTGTTTATGCTTGATTTATGTCTGATGATGTGATCGATCTTGGAATATGTTCCATGTGGTGATAAGTAGTATGTATATTCTGTGGTTGTTGGGTGAATTGTTCGTAGGTAACTATTAAGTCCATTTGGTCAAGTGTCAAGTTGAGATTCTGAATCTCTTAGTTAATTTTTGTCTTGATGATCTATCTTGGGTTGTTAGTGGAGCATTTAAGTCCCTAGCTATAATAGTGTTAGAGTCAATCTCCTTTTTTTAGTTTACTTAGTAGTTGCTTTATACATACTGGTGCTCCTGTGTTGGGTGCATATATGTTTAGGATAGATGTTTCTTATTTAATTAAACCTTTTATCATTATGTAGTGTCCTTTTGTATCTTTTTTGATAGCTTGATGGTTGTTTTGTCTGATATTAAGATCGTGACTCCTATCTTCTTTGGTGATCCATTCACATGGAAATTTGTTTTTCATCCTCTAACTTTGAGTCTGTGTGTATCCCTAGTGGTAAGATGAGTTTCCTGGATGCAGCAAATTATTGGATCATGGTTTTTCATCCAGTTTGCCATTCTGTGTCTTTTCAGTGGTGCATTTAGTCCATTCACATTCAGGCCTACTATTGAAATGTGGTTTATTCCTGCCATGAGATTCTTATAGTTTTTTCTTTGTTTTCTTTTAACTTTTGGGTTGATGTATGTGTGTGTTTTCAAGTGTGCAATCGTGATGCAGTCTCTGTTGATTCTGTGTTCTCCTGTTCTCTTTGGAAGTATGTGGTCATTCTTTTTTTCTTTCCTCTGTGCTTAATACCTTTTTAAGCATTTCTTGTAGAGCTGGTCTGAAAGCTGCATAATCTCTTAGGGATTGGATGTCTGGGAAGGATTTTAATTCTCTATCATGGGTGAATCTGCGCTTGGCTGGGTAGGGAATTCTTGTTTGAAATTGTTTAACCTTTAACAACTTCAAATATTGGACTCTAGTTCCTTCTAGTTTGTAGTGTTTCTGCCAGTAGGTCTGCTGCTATTCTTTCCCCAGTAGGTAATCTGACCTTTCTCTATTGTTGCCTTTAGGACTTTTTCTTTTGTTCCTACTTTGTGTAGGTGAATTACATGTGTCTAGGGGTTGGTCTTCTTATTTGATGTCTTGCTGGGGTTCTCT